TTCTCTGACATAATGGACCCACCATGAATAATATTATATTAATTTTATATTCTTTCTCCTCCAATTCTCTCTACTATTATTTTTTTTTACAATTTTTTATTCTTCCACCTATCTCATTATCTTCATATTTTGTACGGTAAAAATTCCATTGTTTCCCTTATTATTATTCATTCCATTCCAAACAATGGGAATAAAGCTAGAAAGAATCTGGCCACTTTTCATTTTTCTATAAAAATAATAATTTGAGCTAGAAATTCTTGATTATAAACATACAGTTGGTTTACTTTTGTCCTCGCATTAGGACAATTTAATTGGTTTGACGGTGATACTTTTGCTATTGTTTTATTTTTTGTGGTTAAATACCTTTCATAATCTTCTCTAATATTATTTCTTTTATAAAGTCATCATAAAAAAATATAAAACTTTTATATTATAGTCTAAAGTTCAAGACATGATTTTTTCAGAAAAAGAAAATAGATTTGATAAGGTGGTTCAGTTATACTGTTTTATGCCCATTTTCTATAAGCATAATAGCATATGCTCTGACTGCATATAAAGTAACCAGTAATTACAAAATCAGACAATCAGTGTGCTTACTTTTTTATTTTGTAGGAAAAATTGTATATTTGTTAATTAATTAATTGGCAACTACCAACAAAAATAAATTGGAAAAAAAAAAAAGAATCATATTCATATAGTTATTTAATTTATGAATGTAAGGATGAGATGTGATATTGGTGGTGGTTATATACTTTGTTTTATAGGCCCTAATAGCTTGTAGGTCAATTGAAAGATTTGATGCTTCATGCTTCCTCAAAACAAATAGAAATCCCTTACGCTTTGTTTGGATAGCAAAGAAGGAAGGAAAAGAAGGGGAGGGAAAATGGAGGAAGGGAAGGGAAAAGAAAGGGAGGGGAGGTGAGCTCCATTTTCCCTCCAAATCTCTCCAATTTTGGAGAGATTATGGTTATTATAGAGGAAGGGAAAATGGATCCCTCCCTCTCCTTCCCCTTCCTTCCCCCAATCTTTTACCCAAACAAGAGATTTTGTCCCCCTCCATTTCTCTTCTCTTCTTTTCCTTCCATTTCTTCCTATCCAAACAAAGTGTTAATTGTGTCCCCTCCTTTTTTAGGTATAATTGCGGAATATTCAATTTGAAACGAAAACAATTTTAGCTATGAATCTTATGATATTTAGGGCATGTTCTCATACGTTTATTTTCAGTTCAGTTCAGCTCTTAATTTTCTAATCTTATAAAATATTCATTTCAGTTCAATTCAGTTCAGTTCAGCTCAGCTCAGTTTAGTTGAGTTCAGTCAATGAGAACAAACCCTTATTCATTTAGAAATAAGATAAATAACTATATACGAAGTGTTTTTTTTTTGAGGGCATATACGAAGTATTTATGTAAAACAATTTCATAAAAAATAAAAAATTATGTAAAATATCGGTAGATTTGTCTTGATTTATGCATTATATTGTTTCAAAGTCTTTTTTAAAAAAACATATAATTAATATTATGATGGAAAAATACACTTTAATATCCCAACTATGGGCGATTTACCTACAATAATCCCAACTATCGTTTATTCTACAATAATCCCAACTATGCACCCAGTTATCCTAGAGCAGACCCAGCCGGTCATCAACCTGATATAACAGGTTGCTTTGACACGTGGCATCACGTAAGTGGTTCAAAAAAATAAAAAATTAAAATTAAAATTAAAAAAACTGGAAAAAAAAACCCCTCTCCTCCATTCCAGCCACCCCCATCCCCTAGCCCAACCAGATTCCACCACCCCACCTCGCCGGAACCTCCATTATCCCCTTCCACTTTATCGAAAACAACCACCTTGCTCGCGAAACCACCCTAACCTCCCTCCTTATCCTTTTTTTCGCCTAGATCCGCTAGCGAAACTAATAAGGTTTTTCGATTTTCCGACGAAGGAGGGAAAGTAGGGGTGATTATTGGAGGTCAAATTGCTTGCCTATCGTGGTTGGTGGTTTTGGGAGGGTCTCGTCGCTGCGGTGCGGGTTTGCGAATGGAGCAATAGTTGTGTAGGTGGTTGGTTGTTCTTGGGGTTAGGTGAATGGTCGATTGGTGGTTTAGGGGTGACTGCCGGGTTTTGGGGTTGGAGAAGGAAGAAGTTCAGAAGGAGGGGGAGCAGTAGCGGCAGGCAGCGGTGGCGATTCAGGTTGGTGGTGCTGGTGGTAGTTCGTCAACGCGGAGGAGGAGAGAGAAAGAGGCACGAGAAGGAGAGATAAGGGAGTTTCGTGGGTGTTGCTGCGGTGGTTAGTGGGGTCGTAGAGGGCCGGCCGGCTAGGTTTGGTGGTTAGTGGGGGCGGGCGGCCAACATCCGTCGAGATTAGGTGGTGTGGGGTTAGGGTTTCGCGGTGGCTGGGTGGTTTGGGCGGTTTCCGGTGAGCTAGGGCCCTAGGGGTGGCTGGGATGGTTTTTTTTTTTCCTTTTTTTTTATTGTAATATTAGGCCACTCATGTACTGACATGTGTCATTTAAAAAACAAAAAAATAAAAATTTTACCCTTTTAGCAGGTAACCGGTTTTTGGGAGTGGTGGAGGAAAACTGACCTAATAGTTGGGATTATTGTAGAATAAACGATAGTTGGGATTATTGTAGGTAAATCGTCCATAGTTGGGATTATTAAAGTGTATTTTTCCTATATAAATTCATATTTGTACATTATTAAAGATTAAAAAAAACGAAAATAGCTTATAGAGAGTTAGAAACATGTCCTAAATGTATCCAAAAAGAGCCTATATGAGAGGATTATAATATGTGAAGGTGGTAGGAAGTACATACTATTATTATTATTATTATTATTTTGTTGGGGGGGGGGAGGGGGAGTAAACTAGTAAAGCATAGCTTATTGGCTTAGCAAATGCCATAATCATAGTTTGGCGTGACTTAGATGTAACAAAAGGCAACATTACAATGGAAGCGTGATAAAAGAAATGGATCAAGTAAAAAAGAATAGAGAAAGTATAAATTAACATTTTCCAGGTCAAAATGGAGAAGGGATAAAGTTTGAAGGCGGTAGAATTAGGGCTTGTTCTCTTACGTTGAAATTCAGTTCAGTTCAGTTCATTTCAGTTAGTTCAGCTCCTAATTTCCTTCTCTTATAAAATATTCATTTCAGTTCAGTTCAGTCCAGTTCAGTCAATGAGAACATGCCCTTACTCCATCGCCTCAACCTCAATTTCAAAACAAGTATAAAAATGATCTTTCTAGTTCAATTTCTCTCAACCGAAAAAAGGTACACATATATTTCTTAACTAAAATATCGTTTCGATCTTCCCTATTTATATGTTGTTTTCCCAACTAAAATTCCTTTATTTTCTCCCCTATGAATATGTTGTTATGCTACTACTCTACTAGTACACTATCTATAAAAAATACCTAGTACTTCGACAATTCTATATATCAACTTCTTGTAACTGAATTGGCTAGAGTGATTACCTCACACTAGTCGTCTACATATTGTAAGGTTGAATAGTCGACAGGGAGGTTTGGTTCTAAAGCCACCAACATCGTTGTTTGGCTAGATGCATATTGTATGTGGTCAAACTGTTATTCGATATAAGCTTGGAATAACTTGAGAAGTAATATCAACATCGACCATGTTTACTCCATGTATTTGATGGTTTGATGAACCATCATAGACTAAGTCTTATGCAAAAGATTAATGGGAAATTCTACATGGTGACCCTAAGTTTCGACCTAATCTATACGGTGACATACTAAACTTTTCTATTCTACGCTATGACACTAAGTTTTCGCTTATTCTACGCAGTGACCAAGTTAAGGTTTTAAGCTTCCTTCTAATCTCGTTTTCTTACTCAACAGCGAATCCTCGATTTTGACGCTCTAATCATCTCTAAACCTTCCCTCCAGCTCCTCCAATCACAATTCTCGGCGCCGCCATCGCAACCTCCTTTTTACGAATTGAGTCTACAAAACCTTCATTCTCGAATCGAATAGCAGATAAACCCTAACTTATCTGCAATTGAAATCAAAGCGTGAAATTAAGCGCATTTGTCGATTTAAGCGTAAATTGAGGAGGAGAAACCCTAAATATTTGGGGATCAATTGAAGACAGAAGAGAGGAAGAGAATGAGATGAAATGGGAGTACGAGTACACAATTTCATCTTCATGGTTTGTATTGCCTTTTGACGACTGTCAAAGCCGCAATGTGTGTGAGTATCACGATGATACGCCCCGTGATCAGTTGATCGTTCTTGGACCTCACGGTAAATTTATGGAACGCAGGGCTACTAATGCTATCACACACACCCCAAACTCCGTCACAGATATGTATCCCTTTGCGGCTGAAGCCCTTGCCCGCCAAGAGACTGACAGGCTCACCTCGCTTTCCTTGGACTCCCTCTTATTTCCTACTGATACGGCTTTTAATTACCTTGTTTCAGTCAAGGATAACAAACATATCTCACTGTCAGATCTTCTAGGCAAGAACGTCATCGAAGCTGCAATGGACTTCTTAGTACAAATTGAAATAAAAAATCGAAGTGCAATTTTCTTAGTTGAAATCAAAGCTGCAATGGACCTTTTAATTGGTTTTCTTTCCTTTTAAATTAGTTTAATTGTAATTTTGATTAGAGTAGGGGTTAGGTTAGTAATTTCAATTAGAATGGTTAATAAAACATGCTTAGGGTCTAAATGGCTAGCTTAAAGGCTTAATTGTGCCACTGCGTAGAATAAACAAAAACTTAGTGCCATAGCGTAGAATGAAAAAGTTTGGTATGTCACCGTATAGATTAGGTCGAAACTTAGGGCCACCATGTAGAATTTCCCAAGATTAATTAAGTTTCAATATATTGACAACGCAAACTCATGAACCATCATAGACCGAGTCTTACGAGACCAAGTAACATTTAACCAATTAGTGAAATAAATCTTGTCCAAAGGCTATAACAAAGATTCGAACTTTGGACCTTGTTGATTAGCAGAGAATATCAACAAGTTGTAAAAACTGACAAAGTACCATCAATCCAAGTCCCAAATCCCTAAATTATTGTCTCTTAAAAATTAATTGTACGCACAAAAAAACCCTAGCCCTCTCTCTTCACTCTCCTAATCTCCCGCCACTCTCTCTCTCCACGTTCTCCATTGAAGCGCCTTCTCATATTTCAAGCAGACAGTTCCTCAAGTAAGTTGTCTCCTTTTCTATTAATTTCAATTTCATAATCTAGGGTTTATCGTTCATCTTATTTAGTTTAATCTTATACTTAATTTAGGATTCGAATCTTTGAACTATTGGTTGTAATTACTAATGACCGATTATGTTTATCAGCCTAATTTTTTTTACAATTGAATCAAATGTTATTTTTCTCCCTTTAATTGTTAAATTTGATAACAAATTTGGTTGCTAATGTGTTGCAGAACCCTTCAATGTTTTGATTATACTATGAAATAGGCTACATTTACAACGATTTCCTGTTTTGAAGGCGATTGTCTCACAAAAAAGTACAGTGCTTTTTTACTTTTTTAAGATAGAGAAAATGGAATAACAATTTCCCCCCTTTTGTTAAGAAAAATTTGCTGATGTTGTTTTATGTGATTTTTAGACTCTTAAATATTTCATATATTTGATGATTTTTAGTTTTGTTTTAGGTATTTTCTTGTTTAATCATGGATTTTGTGGATGATCCTTTTGCTGAACCTGTGGTTGCCAAAGGTAATTTAATAATAACCCATGTTTTTTTTTTTCTTTTCGAAAATTCGATACATTGTGCCATTGTTTTGTTCTTGCAATGTAATGTGGAAGTCTAGGGATTGAGCATTGGTGTATTTTGCTCTTTGGCATTGGCAGCTGTTGGTAGGTTTCAGCCCAAGGCTAAGCCACGACCCAAGAAAGGACCATCTGTCGCGGTAAAAGCAACCAAAGAGCCGCCTGTAACATCAGTTCTGCAATTGAATAAGTCTGATGATAATGTAGAAAAGAATTTAGAAGTTCCTAAAAGTTCATCTATAACAGACAATGAAAGCTCAGGATTGCCAGCTGAAGCAAAGGAAGTGGCAGGTTCTGCTGTTACCGGGAATTCAGAAATTGCTGGTCTATCCACAAATGAAGCTGGTTGGCGTTTAAAACTTTCTTTGTAGCTTTACTTTAAAGCATTCTTACATTTCTGTTGTTATTTGTAAGATGAATTTGACTAATGGTACTGATGGAGAACATGTCCAACTTTAGAGACACCAACGGCGAATGCACCTAGTGTTCACAATGAAAAGGAGCTATCAGATTTCCATAGTGTTTCTTCTGCCAGTGCTTCGCTTCTTAGGCCATGTAATGCACAAGCTGCTCCTGATCAGTATGAGGATCAGACATTCGAAAATCAAGAAGGCTATAAGGAATCCATTGAATGTGGTGATGGAGACTTACAGATAGATGTTGAGCAGCTGGTAAGAAAAGATTATTTCACTGTGCTTGCTATCGGTTTTTCTTTTTTTCCCCTTTCTAGCAGTTTGACTTGGATCTGTTTGATGATTTGTCTAAGTATATTTTCTGTCATGCCATATAAAACAGGAAGCAGGGGATTTTTCTTGTCTCGACAGTTTAAATGTAATGACTGAGGGTGCTGCTGCTTCTGGTATTGCCAAATAGAAATTCTATATACATGTATTTTTTTTTTATTTTCCCCCCTTGTTTTTCCTTTATGTTTAACTTTGGTGGTATTATCGAGTGGCAGGAACTAGAGCTGTTAAATTCAAGCCCAAGCCTAAGGCACAAAGTGATAGACGGAAGAAAGATTCAGCTGAGGCTGTTTCTCATCTTCCGCGTTCCCAGAATCTTCCCTCTGAAAGTGAGCATATGACAAGTAGTGGATCAATTCATGCCGGAGAACCCAACACTGTGTCTGATGTTGTACATATGAGGCTTGATGGCGATTTTTCCTTAGATCCTTCTGTGTATCAACCTGACACTGTAGTCTCTGAAGATATAGATTCATTTATGCCTGAAAAATTACCACAACAGGTAGTGAGACTGTCCTGACTAACTATTATACATTGTTGATTCCTTGATGGTGATCCATATTTTAACCTGAATTTTCCATCACCACCATTTTGTTGATTTGGCTTTTAGAGTGGGGAGGACCATAGAGAACAGAATTCATATGATGCGTTAGGCTCTTCTGCCAAATCAGTAGATGGAGGGGTTTTGTCAGCATTTGAAGGAAATGAAGATGGATATGAACCCCAAGATGGAATGAATGGTGGATTAAACAACAATAACAGCTCTTACGATAAAGCACCTGATAACTCGGCCCTAAATAGAGATGAAAATAATGAAGGTGGTTATATTGGCGAAGAGACTTTGCAAAAGAAACGGCCACGAAAGTCTAAGAAAGTTGCAGCTGAAAATAATAAACCGGCTAGAAAGAGGAAGAAGGCAACCCAGGAACTTAATGAATACGTTGAAAAACCTCCCAAGAAGTTCCCTCGTGCAACTCGACGAAAAAGATGTGGTATTTTTTCTACAGTGAATTTGTAATAAATCACACAGCATATTGATGCATGCCTTTCTTTAAGTTTTTTTTTTGATAAAGTTTTTGCATGCAATTTTCCTTCTTGTGTAGTGAACAAATCCTTGCTTGAAGCACCAGAGGACGAACTGGACCTTCAAAGGGTTCCAATCAGGGACTTGATCATACTTGCAGAGTATAAAGAACGCCAAGCAGTAAGTATTTGTTCTCCTCCAATGCTTTGTATGTTTATTCTGTATGTGGTATTAATTACAGGATCGCATTTTCTGTTTTGATTCTTCATTGCAGAAGAAAGAAGCAGCAGCAGCTATGCCACCACCAACCAGTGAGAGGTAACAGAATAATAAGGCTAGCTTAACTTAGACAATTGTACTTTTTTTAGCTTTTACCTCTTAGTTATATTTTCTTAGGAATGTCTTTCATTGCAGTCTATTTTCTGATAAATATTCCTCTGCAGGAATAATAACCTGTCACCAGAGGACCTTCCTTATGATGATAATGAGTCATTTGATCAAGACGGAGATAATTACGATAATCCTTCGACTCTAAGGGTTCAAAAAGATACAGGCTACTTTAACTATCAGTCATTTATGACAAAAGAAACCAGAGCGAGGTGGACAAAGCAGGACACTGAATTGTTTTACCAGGTATTTTTCTAAATAAAACCTTTACACTGCACAAGATATTCTTTTACTTTTTTTATTAAATATTTTTATATGTAGTGTGAATGTTATTTATTAAATTTTGGAAGATGAGAGTTGTAGAGCTAAGGAGGACTTTATAAACAATGCAGCAGACTAATAATTTTTAATTGAGCAGCTTTTCTGTCAACTAAGCTACTGATGTCATGAGAAATTTCTTTCCTTTACCTCCCTCAAATAAGAAAAAGATGCAAACCCACACGTCTATGTGATTAATTACCTGAACCCGTAAATATTTAGTATGTTTCTGGTTCTTTTATTACCTAAACTTTACTGTCTCTATGTGCTGCAGTCTCTTAGTCAATTTGGATCAGATTTATCAATGATTCAACAACTTTTTCCTGGGCGCACTCGGCATCAAATCAAATTGAAATACAAAAAGGAAGAACGCCAAAATCCTATGAGGGTTAATGATGCTTTGACTTGTAGAACACAAGGTATCTCTGTCTGTGTTTTACTATAAATTGCAAACTGTTAAATATCCATGTTGTTCATCTTGCTTGTTATGCTGATTAATTGAATTTAGTTTTAACCTGAAGTGTGGATATATTGAAGGCTTTATATATTTTAAGATCGAAGACTTATGCCATCCTTGGTGGTAGAGATTGGAAAATATGGTGCAATAAGTAGCAGTTTCACATAGTAGATCAGCTAGAAAAATTTACTGGGACAGAGTGGAGTACTTGCTTTTAGTTAGAAAAATGTACTATTGTTAATATGCTGGTGTCCCATGGAGATAAAATAGTGCTATCTGGTTATTCAGAGGCCAATGACCGCTGTGAATTCTTTCAACACATCAAGCTTACATTTAGTTTCCTTGATAAGAAGAGCTCTTAGGCTTGTTACATATGTTGTTCTAGGAAGGAAACCTGGAATAGGGAGTTGAACAACTTGAGTCGGGAATTTATTTGGTAGGTCTTCAGCCTAAAAAAAAAAGAAGTTTCTATTATTATTATTACTATGTTTTTTCTTTTTTCTTTTTTGGGTACCGCAGAGGTTTTAACATTTTTAGAACTATCAGGATTAGACCTAGCTTAGTTGTGTCATAATCCATAAAGATGCTAGTATTTGTAGGTGATGGTGTAGGAATGGGATATAATTCTACTTTTACCTCATCAATGTCTGAGCGCAAATGCTGCGTTTAGTTATTTCTTTTCTTTTTTTTTCCTCGGCTAAGAGATGAGTCAGGACCCAGGAGAGTGCCAGAATTTTGTTCAGATAAAGGCTCCTCTTGCTTTGTTGTTTGAGCAAGCAGTTAGAAGAGCTATATGCTCCATTAAATTGCAGCAGATTAAGCATCTTGATTTTGACTACTGGACCGTAGTTCTGAGAACATACTGCCTATGTTAGGCATGTTCAATATTAATCCATTTTGTCTGAAAAAGGTAAGTAAAAAGTCGAATTTATAGTATAGTTTGCCTGTTGAATTATGTAGAGAAAAATTACAAAAGCCAGCTGTAGAAAAACATGACTCTCTTTGGGGATATGCGCTCAGCTCATTGATGATTACAGTATATATAATGCATGTAATCCATTTTATCTGCAGATCTCTCACATTTTGAGCTCGTGATCAAAAGGCTGAAAGAACAAGCTGCACAAGATGAAAAGATTGATAATGATGATTCAGTTTGCGTAACATGCGAGGACGAAGGGCCAGAGGAAGTTTTCAACGCTCATGTATGTACCAATTTTTTCAGTTCCATTTATTTTTTCATATTAAGTTGGTATTGGTTGTCTGATTAGGTAAAAGTACTCCGTATGCATGCATCTTACACTTGAGTTCTTACAACTTTTGGTGTTGGTGAAATTATAGGAAGATGTTTCAAATGCCAAGCAGAACGAAGAAGCTCAAGTTGTTGATCAAGAGTCTCCCAAGTTGCATTACAGTGAAGATGAGGAATTTGATTGGAGTTCATATAAAAGTGAATTATAGCATTTAAACAAATTCATATTTTCTATTCCTAACACCCTTTCTATTTTTTGTATGATGGTGACGACACCTTTATTGATAGTTTGAATGACAACCAAATGCACGGGGAAGAACTAATTCCTAGGTAGTAAATCTTGATGAGTTGTTTGGTTGACGTGACCATAAAAAGTGGAGTTTTCTAGAAAATTCTAGTTCCCACAAAATGGGGAAGTTGATAATCTAACCTCATTATGTAAGCGGAACTTTACATGAGAAATCCGGCTTCTTATGATAGTTATTCAAACAATTTTAGTTGCTTTTAGGAATGGAAACTTCAATGATAAACTTTAGTGAAGTGTAGCCTTCTATGTGCTACCGAACGACCTTTAAGACTACAATTTTGCTCTACTTAGCCTTCTATGTGCTACCAAACGACCTTGATAAAACCACTATCATTTGACAAATTCATGGATGTGTTGACTACTACTAGTAGTAATTAAGAGTAACTACATACACCCTTGAGAAAAATGTACCTTGAACTTTTCAATGCAACTTATATATCATGGTCATTTGATACATTAATGATCTTTTATCTCAGTAGGTGGCAACAATGGCAATAACGAATAAACTACCGTTAGTATAACTAATTAGTAATTACTAGTGGCATTTGGATTTAGACTAGAATTTCACTCAAAATCTTTTATATCGTGTCTTGATATGGCCGGTTGGTTAAGGATTGTTAGCTATATGTCACATGCTCATAATTTTTCCAATGTTATGGCGCAACCTTCCTTGTATATATAACAATATATGGCAATTATTGTATGGCCTTGTGCCTACACTAATACATGTGTCTCGTGTATTATGCTTGTTGTACATATGGAGAAGGCTCGCCCCACAAGGCCCACACACAAACTATCATCGCTCGTCCCATGACATATAGCAACGCATCCAAGGACCGAATATCCGATGCTGAAGTCCTCAACCAGCAACACTTGCAACCTCCAATTTCCACATCTTTTCTTGTGTCCATCATCTTCCCACGAAACACAACCATTTTTTCCTCCATTTTTTGACCCTTTAACAATGGCTTTTCCCCATTTTCTCTCTCCTCCTTCAACACTCACTACCACCACTCTTCAGCCAACCCACCATTAACATGCCCCAATCTCAACCACCGCATCATCCACCGTCCAATCAATTCCACCCCTCCAATCCAACGGCCTCAAATCAACCACCTCTTCCTTGCTTCTCTAAATCTGCTAATCTGCCTGACTTTCTCCTCACCGCTCTCTCTCTCTTCCTCTTCATCACCGCCCCTAAACACCATCTTCCTCCTCGCGCACTTTCTCTCTCCTCCCCTCCTCCTTCCACCAATCGCCGCTTCCTCCGCCTTACTTCAACCATGTCGCAAAACCCTAACCCTAATTCCTCTGCTTTTCCTACCCCTCAATCGCTTTCTGATTGGCTTAAACCTCGATTACCCTCTGATTCTTTCGCTTCTTGGGGCACTAAACCCGGCACTAAAAATGTTCATAATCTATGGCTTGAGCTTGCTGATGGTGAAACATCGCTTGTTGATAAATCTCCCCCAATTCGGAATTTGGAGGTTGTTTGTGTTAGGATTTTGGGTAATGACAACAGGGTGTTGATTGAAGCTCACCAGGAGTTATCTGATGGGTCGATTCGTAAAAGGGGTCGTCCATTATCGGAGAAATTGAAGTCTGGTGAGGATATTGAGGCGGGTGTTAAAAGGGCGATCAAGGAAGAATTGGGGTCTGTGATTTTTAGGGATAATGATGTTGGAAATGTGAATTTTGATCAGATTGTGAGGGTTTTGATGGATTCTTATGAGAGGAAGGTGGAGGAAAGGGTTTCTGTTTCGTACCCGGGTTTGCCGGCTGTTTATGTGTTGCATACTGTGGATGCATTTGTGGAGGGGTTGCCTGAGGGTGAGTTTGCTACAGAGGAGGAAACAGAGTATGAGGGTTGTGATAATTTGGTGGCTGATGAGGCGGTTTCGGTTAAAAGGCATTTCTGGAAATGGGTTCCTGTTGATTCTGTGTGATATTGGTAGCTACGGCGGAGCCTTGGATGAATGGCGTGGCATCGGAGATGATTGTCGCGGTTGGGATGTACAAAGTTGGCACCTTCACCGGAGTAAACTATCATTGCTCTTGATGAACTGGTTGGTGAGTTTTGAGAACCCTCAATTGTTGGTTGAATTCAGTTTAACTTGTTGTAGTTATTGTTGTGGTGATTGAAGATGAGTAAAATAACCTGTTTCTTTTAGTAAAATTGTTGTATAGAATGTATGACATTTGACAATTTTGTTTCCTGTGGATGTGTAAATATCAACTGTCTACATTTTGAACTACTTATAATACAAAACAAAATGAAAGGAAACAATTTTGTTTCTTGCTGTCAATCTTCTGAAATTTTGTTGTCTTCAATGATGAATTATGCTTTTCTTCTCTTATGCAATTTTGTGATCATTTATGTTTGTGAATTTTGTATTTGTTACATTATATCAAATGTCCATTCCTACATGGTTAACAAGTTCTTTGGGGAACGTATTGATGTAAATTTTGACATTACATATCTCCGGAATAGATATGAAGGTTATAGAATAGTTAAGCCTTGGCACTTGTGTTTTATTGTATTCTTGTTTCATTATATGTCCCGCTGTAACTGTCCTCACAGAAGGAGTTAAGGACCATATCTATATCTTCAGGGCTTAGTTTCATAGCTTATTCTGTTACTATCAGTGAAGGCGTGAAGCTTTAGTCTAATGATGCATTTTGATGTAGTTTGATTTTAACAGTTTATAGAAGTTGGTCCAATGGGAAAACTGTGAGATCTTTTCCTAATTGATGCTGAATTTTCATTCTCCATTTTTCCGTCGAAACAAACAGACCCTGAATTTTAGTGGCTATACAAAGTTCTTATTAAGCTGTAAATACAACTTCTGATGGAATGATGGATTAGAGGTCAGTATCTAGCTGTGTTTCTCTTAAGTTGTTCATCCTGAAGTTTCTGAAGCTATAGTTGATATATTTGTGTTCTGTCAGTCTGTGTTTTATTTTATGGACTTGATTTCCAAGCTGATGACCCTTGTGTTTCCGTAGCATTGAGAAAGGTTAGATAATACTGAAGGTTTAGTCAGTTCATGCATTTATAGTTTTAATCTTTAACTATAACAATAGTATGAATCTGGAGATTATGGACTTTGGTGGGGTTAGAGAGGTCTAGGACTCTAGGTTATACAAGCACCTAGCTTATTTCATAAAATTAGCATACGTTCATAGTTTTAAATGTGAAGCATGTGAAGTACAGCCCAAGATTAACAACACTATAAGTCATTTATGATAGGGAATTACAAGATCTTATGGTGTATCAATATTAAGATGATTTTACACTGAAAAATAAAAGAGAATCTATTGGGTATCTTATTTTATTTACTTGAAACAATGATAGTTCAACTTAAACACTGCTTTTAATAGCATTGCTGTACCCATTATCAAATGCCTTTGACCATAGCATGACTCCTCCATATTTAGAGGAACCCTTGATTGTGGGAAGGACTTGAGATGTGAGAACATCAGCAGGAATAAAACCATTATTGGCAGCTTGGTCGGATGCTGGTATTCCGAGGAAGATTTGGTTAGCTTGAAGAGAAGTCCACTGGTTCCATGAGTTCAAGAGATTATCAGTACTGCCGTCATATTGGCAATTGGCTCTGGGATTGTTATAGAACTGAACCCACACGAAGTCGAATAGCCCTGTGGCTATGGCAGTGTCCAATCTGGCATCTGGGAAGGGGCATTGAGGAGCTGCTGATAAGTAAACTGTTTTCTGGCCATTGTTATGACCTGCCAAAGCTCTAGCTAGGTCATCATAAAATCTTTTGTCACCAGTCTCGATATCAAAATCGATACCATCGAGAACTGCATCTCCTAGGGGTCGAGAGCTGGACTGACCCCCTAAAAAATTGTTCCAGAGATAATCAGCAAGCTGATTTGCATCATCGGTTGAGGATAGAGAGTAGCCTTCAGTCGCACCTCCTATAGAAAGGAGAACCTTAATGCCTGCCTGTTTGCATGCGTTGATCTCACTGCTTAGGCTGCTACAAGTTGTAGTGGGGTCACAGTGTCCTGCTAAGTTCAGCACTGGGGTTGCCCCGTTGCCAAAGCTACTTAGGAAAGCTAAGATTACAGTACCGTAGTTTCCGGAGTTACAAGTGTCCACAAGACTTCCCTCGTTGCCATTTTGACCCCAGTATATGGCTATTTGGGATCCCTGAGAGGACTTAAATGAAGCTAAAATCACGAGAGAGATTAAAAGTGAAACTGATGCAATTCTGGCTGCCATGTTTGTTTTTTAGGTTGTATATGCAGACAGTGCTTATGTTGTGTGAATTTGCATTTTGATAATTAGCAATATATATAGATGTTTGAGTGATTGAGGTCAAGCTGGAATACTGGAAACAAAGCGTATAGGAAGGGACTGTACAGCACTACAGCTCATCATAGAGTTGTATTGTAGTTTAAGAGGAATATGTCAAAAAGAGTATGCTTGAAAAGTCTAGTCAACGAGGTCTATCTATACTAATCAAAACGTAAGGTTATGGACGATATATGTGTTCTGTTTGAAATTGGCTTCTCCATTTTTCTTTTTATTACGAGTAGTATTTTGGTGTAATGGTTTTCCTAAAATTTGGGTTTGATTTTATAATTTTAAAGAATATAGTACTTAGGGCCTGTTTTGATACGATTATTTTCAGTTCAGTTTAGCTCTAATATGTTAAGTTCAGTTCAGCTCTAATAAGTTCAGTTCAATTTAGTTCCTAATTTCCTTCTCTTATAAAATATTCATTTCAGTTCAGCTCTAATAAGTTCAGTTCAGTTAGCTCAGCCCATTCAATCGATGAGAAAAGACCCTTAATTTTTTATATAGTATAAACTCTCTTTATTCATGACAAGAGTAGATTGATGGATTGGGGTTGGGCCGGACATCATTGTCTGAATTAATAATAACTCTCATCATTAACACAATAAGGTCAATAGCAGCAAGGATTCCAAAAAAAAAAAAAAAAAAAGTGTCAATAGCTACAGGGCTAATGGTACTTTAAAATAACATGCATCTTCTTTGGAATTGGAAGTAATGTGGCAATACTTGTCAATTTAAATTTTTAGTACATTCCATCACCACTCTTTATTACCAGCTATCAAATAAGTTGGTCAAGAAATTATTTGTATGGAGTATTATTAAATAAGACATTCATTTTTGTTGGTTTTAGGCATTGTATTTTCAGTGTTTTCAAATAATTACACACAAGATTTCAAAAAAAAAAAAAAAAATAAATAAATAAATAAATAAAAATTACACAGATCATTATCAAATCTAATAACTAATACTAAAATAAAACGATGCTGATTTCATTCTTTCTTCATATTGTATACATGTCACTCTAACATAAATTTTATTTTCCGCCAAATTGTTATGATGATGTCATTAGTTTTTATTTATTTATTATTATTTTTATAAGTATATGTATATTAATATGCTTTTAGTAGACATTACTTACCATGTATAAAAAAAATTACAGAGCAGAATACTTTATTTCTCAGTATTATAACAAATCTTATTACAATGTATTTTGTTCAAAACCGTGCATCGCACAGGAACTAAATTAGTAAGGGAAAAAATCAAGTGAAATCATTTATGCGGTGATTTTGTAATGAATTATGTTCCTTTCTTTTTTAAAAAAGAAATAATTTTATTTTCTGATTGTTTGCTATTCTTGGCTTCTTGCACCTTATGATGTCAATTGTTTAACATTGCACCTTCACTTAACATAATTGTCGAAAAAGTTCAAGCTGATTTTGAATTACTCAGCAAGAACAGAGCATGGGGAGAATTAGAGATGTCAATTAGGGTAAACGGGTCGGATTTGGGTCGGTAAGAGTGGGTCGAGTCATTCGGATTAATTCCACAACCTATGCGGGTCGGGTTTGGGTTGGGTCATGCTTGAGTCGGGTCACGTCGGGTCATACTTCTTATCAGGTTTGGGTCGGGTTTAGGTCAGGTTAATAACAGGTCGGGTTACATTCGGGTCGGGTGAACAATAGGCCGGGTTTAATTCGGGTTTTCACGGGTTAGGGTAATTCTCGGGTTCGAGTCGGGTTCGTTTCAAGTCAATAATTTGCGGGTTAGAATTAGGTCGGGTCATTCTCAGGTGTGAGTCGGGTTCGGTTTAAGTCAATAATTTGCGGATTATAATTAGGTCGGGTCATATTCAAGTCAGGTCATTTTCGGGTTCAAGCCGGGTTCGGTTCAAGTCAATAATTTGCAGGTTATAATCAAGTTGGGTTATTTCCAAGTCGGATCATTCTCGAATTTAAGTCGGGTTATGTTCAAGTCAATAATTTGCAGGTTACAATCAAGTCGGGTCATTTCTAAGTCAGGTCATATTCGGGTTCAACTAACTATAAATAGATAATTATCATTTTTATCAAGCTAATTATTTCCTTTGACTATAATATATATGACAATATACTAGGGAACTATAGTCTCTTATATATACTTTGATACTATATTTAACTCTTAAATTTGAGAATGATGCTCCTTTCTTTTGTTGGCTAACTGGCTTGGACCAACTTGGTCTTCCTAGACAAAATGCTTTGATCAACAATAATAAGATGGTCTAAATTGCATTTAAGGTGATTTGAAATCGGGTCAGGAACAATTTGGGTTGAATTTAGGTCGAGTCAATAACAAGTCGTGTTAATTTCGAGTCAGGTAAGTAACAGATCGGGTTGAATTTTTTGGTTGGGTAAGTAATAGGTCTGGGAAAATCCGGGTCGGGTTAATAACAATCGGGTTCAATTTGAGTTAGGTCAATAACAAGTCAGGTTGATTTCGGGTTGGATTTCTAACAGATTGGGTTAAATTTGGGTCAGGTTAGGAATGAGTCGGGCTGAATTCAGGTCAGGTTAGTAACAAGTCGGGTTAAATTCGGGTTTTGACGGGTTAAAACGGGTTAGGATCAATTTCGGTTCAAGTCGGGTTCGGTGCAAGTAGGGGTGCTTATCGAGCGAGTCTATCACGAGCTGTGGGGTGCTTGACTCGACTCGAAAACTTTTTATATGTGCTCAACTCGTGCTCGCTAAAGTTTCGAGCAAATAAAACCTGCTCACCTCGTGCTCGTTAAAGTTTCGAGTCTAGTCGAGTTGCTCACAATCTGCTCGTTAAAATTTTGGTCCTTCTTATACTATATGCCCTTATTTTTTTTTTGTTCAATTTATATCGTTTTCCTTATTATATATAGATATTATTGAAAATTTACTCTTTTTTTTTAATAATATAAATTAAGACTTAATAAGTGTCAAATTTGTTTAAAGATAGTAACTTTGTTTGCAGGCCTCAAAAAAAAAAAAAAAAAAAAAAAAACTTTGTTTGCAAATTCTATATTAATAATATATTATCGAGTTGCTCACGATCTTATCGAGTCAAGTTAGAGCTTGCTCAACGCGTGCTCGTTAACATCTCGAGTCGAGTTGAATTCGAGTCGAGTACGAGTTGCTCGCGAGCTGCTCAACTCAATTAGCACCCTTAGGTGCAAGTTAATTAAATTGGCCGTTGTAAACCGGTAAATCGATGCAAGTTGTAAACCGGTAGATTGTCCGCTTAAAAGCAAATTAGATGGTTCCACACACCCTAGAGTATTAAGGACCATGGTAAACATTTTGGCAATTTTCATTTCCGGGAAAAAAAAGGTCAAAAAATTCATAAATTGAAGGTTAATATCCACGTTTTTTGAGAAATTTTAGAGATTTCGGGGCCCAGTGTCGAAAAGCCTTGAGATTATAGGGAATACATCTCGGGGGTCATATAATGACGTTTGGAACCTTATATGATCATTATATGTTGTCATAAATGTTCGTGGTAGGCTTTATTTAATGAAATCGGTGCAAGTTATAAACCGGTAAATAGGCCGTTTAAAGGCAAATTGGATGGTTGCACCCACCATATTGGACTCTTGGAATGTATTAGGGACCATGATAAACATTTTCGGCAATTTCTATTTCCGTACGAAAAAAATAAAAAATTTCGTAAATTGAAGGCTAATATCCACGTTTTATGAAAAATTTTGGAGGTTTCGAGGACTAGTGTAGAAAAGTCTTGATATTTTAGGGGATACATATCGGGATCATATAATACCGTTTGAAAACATATATGATCATTATATGTTGTCATAAATGTTTACAATATGCTTGAATTAATGAAATCCATGCAAGTTGGTGAACCGGTAAATTGGTCGTTTAAAGGGAAATTGGATGGTTCCACCAACCCAATTGGACTTCCGAATGATATTAAGGACCATGGTAAACATTTGGCAATTTTTATTTTTAGGCGAAAAAGTCAAAAAATTTCAAAATTAAAGACTATTATCTACGTTTTTTGAGAAATTTTGGAGACTTCAGAGCTCGGTATCGAAAAGTTTTGAAATTTTAGGGGATACATTTCGGGGTCATATAATGCCGTTTGGAACCATATATGATCATTATTTGTTGTCATAAATGTTTGTGGTAAACTTGTGTTAATGAAATCGGTACAAGTTGTAAACAGGTAAATTGGTCGTTTAAAGACAAATTGGATGGTTCCACCCACCCATTGGGAAACTCGAACGGTATTAGGGATCATGGTAAACATTTTGGCAATTTTTATTTCAGGACGAAAAAAAGTCAAAAATTACAAAATTGAAGGCTAGTATCCACGCTTTTTGAGAAATTTTTATGATTCGGGGCCCGGTGTCGAAAAGTCTTTAAATTCTAGGTGATTCATGTCGGGGTCATATAATGTCGTTTGGAGCCATTTATGATCATTATATGTTGTCATAAACATTCATGGTAGGCTTGATTTAATGAAATCGATGCAAGTTGTAAACCGATAAATTGATTGTTTAAAGGCAAATTGGATAGTTTAACCCACCCAATTGGACTCCCGGAGGGTATTAGGGACCATGGTAAAAATTTCAGCAATTTTTATTTCCGGCCGAAAAAAGTCAAAATATTCCAAAATTGAAATCTTATATCCACGCTTTTTGAAAATTTTGGAGGTTTCGGGGCACGATGTCGAAAATTCTTAAGATTTTAGGGAATACATGTCGGGGTCATATAATGACGTTTGGAACCATATATGATCATTATACGTTGTCATAAATGTTCGTGGTAGGCTTGATTTAATGAAATCGGTGTAAGTTATAAATCGGTAAATAGGTTGTTTAAACGCAAATTGGATGGTTGCACCCACCCAATTGGACTCCCGAAGGGTATTAGGGACCATGGTAAACATTTCGACAATTATTTTGTTTGGGCCATAAAAGTCTAAAAATTCCAAAAATAAAGGCTAATAACCACGTTTTTTTAGAAATTTTGGAGGTTTCGGGGCCCGGTATCGAAAAACCTTGAGATTCTAGGGAATATATCTCTGGGTCATATAATGTCGTTTGGAACCATATATGATCATTATTTGTTGTCATAAATGTTCGTGGTAGGTTTGAGTTAATGAAATTGGTGCAAGTTGTAAATCGGTAAATTGGCCGTTTGAAGGCAAATTGGATGGTTCCACCCACCCAATTGGACTATCGGAGGATATTAACTATTAAGTACCATGGTAAACATTTTGGCAATTTTTATTTTCGGGCGAAAAAAAGTCAAAAATTTCC